ATATTAGCCCGCTCTAGACAAATGGCGGAAGATGAGGACATCCATACCCAGTTCCCGAAGATCATCAACTTTATCAGCTCAAAAGTAGCCCAGATATCAAGAAGACTGGCCTCGCAAAGAAAAGAGAGGGAAGAATCGCTGAGAAATGCTATAGACATAGCTGAACTCAATCTAAGGCGTAACACCAACTCAACTTTCTATACAGAACTCTACTCCAAATCAAAAGAGGAATTAAACGAGTGGACTAAATTGAAACTCAGAGGCCTGCAATTAAGAGCTAGAGTTAAAGACTGGGATTTGAACGAAAAAATGACCAAACACTTTTTCCAAAAAATCAAATCCAACTCAAGAAACGCCAAGGTAGAAAGACTCAAAGACACGAACGGAAACCCCACCTCAGAAACCACTCAACTCATCAACATAGCAGCCAATTTCTATAAAGACTTGTATTCCAGTAAAATCCCGACGGGAACACTCAACGAAGTCACAAACGCCAGGAACAAATTCTTATCTCACTTGGACCACTCCCTATCTAAAGAAACAACAAACATTCTAGAAGAACCCATCACCTTAGATGAACTTCACCAAGCTCTGAAGGACATGAAACCCAACAAAGCCCCAGGAAGAGATGGTCTATCCAAAGAATTCTGGCTTGCAAGCTGGCACACCTTAGGACCCCTATTCCTACAATTTCTAAACAAAGCATGGTCAAAAGAATCCCTAGGACTAGACCTAAGTACAGGAGTAGTAACACTTCTCTATAAGAAAGGAGATAAGGAAAATATCAGGAATTAAAGGAGATAAGGAAAATATCAGGAATTACCGACCCATCTCACTTCTCAACGTATCATACAAAATACTAGCTAAACTGCTTGCTACAAGAATCAACCGAATCACAGGAAAATGCTTTCATCTTGACCAAACAGGATTCATCCCTGGAAGACTAATGTTGGACAACGTCATGACACTAAACGAATCCATCAGACTAATAAAACAAAAAAAAATAGTAGCAGCCATACTGTTCTTCGATTTCGAGAAAGCATACGATCAGGTTGACTGGGACTTCCTTCAAATCTGCATGGAAAAAATGGGGGTAGGACCAAACTTCCGCAAATGGGTAAGAATATTATACAACGACGCTCAAGGGACAGTGCAAGTAAACGGCTTCTTATCTAATCCGTACAAAATGACATGGCCAGTAAGACAGGGTGATCCACTAGCGGCCCCAATATTTCTTTTTGTAATGGAGGCCATAGCAGCCTTCCTTAGAAAGGACACCTCAATTGAAAGATTAGAAGATCTGAAGGATGGAAATGGCCGCCCTCTTCACTTCCCAACCACCCTACTATTCGCGGATGCCCTCACCGTCCTAATCAGAGCAACCAACTCATCCTTCCAAGCACTGACAAGAGCAATGCAGGCTTTCCAACTAGCATCTGAAATGAAGATAAATTGGCCAAAAACAATAGGATGGTGGCTCCCAAACTCACCCCCTCCCTCGGAAATCACACCTGTGGGCATGCAATGGACTGATCCAACACTCCCAATCCGCTTCCTAGGAATCCAGATCAATATAAATGGTTGTCACCCTTCCTCTGCTGCCACACTACTATCAGCGATGATCAACAAATTACACAGATGGCAACGGTCTCACACATCCTTATTAGGCAGGGTTCTAGCCTTGAATAACTCGGTTTTAGCCATGATGTGGTAGACTACCTCCATTTGGTTTCCTTCCCCAGATTTCCAATAACAAATCAGGAAAAGAGCAGCCGCATATCTATGGACAGGAAACCCAGACAAGCAACACTTCATCTAGAAGGTAGCATGGCAGATAGTCACTTTACCCAAAGAAAAGGGAGGTTTAGGCCTTTTAGATCCAACACGCCAAATCCAAGCCTTACAAATCAAATGGATTCTAAGGCTGACCCTCCAGAGTAATCTGCAATGGACACCCTTAGCGCTCAATCACATCATGAGCCTGACACCCTTCAAATCCCCTCCTAACATGTCCGGCCTGTTCTGGATTTTTAATAAACAATGGCCTCTTCCAAGAATGTCCAACTCCCCCAATCCCCAGTTAATTCCAGACGAAGGAACAGACAAGGAACCCTCCAAATCTTTCTGGGAACTACTACWGCACACCTGGAGAAAAATCTTCCCAGAAAACAGACTAGGCCCAAAAAGAAAAGATGRAGTTCTAAGACAACCCATTTTTGGCAACCCCTGGATCAAGGACGACAAAGGAGTAAGTATCTCTCTCTCTAAAGCAGACGTCAAATGGGGCCACTGGCTAGAAAAAGGTATATGGCAAATCCAACATTTGTGGAACGACTCAACAAATAATTGGAAAGAAGTTAAAACCCTCAGAACCATCCTAAAAGGGAACCACAACCTAAAAGACAATCTTCTAACCATTATAGAAAGCATCCCAATAGAATGGAKACRCTTACTTAAAACTGAACAAAAATGGATATCCRGGGATTGGGCTAGTCAGARGAACCAGGCCAATAYAACAGAAATCCTTAAGGTCACAAACAGCGAACCACACAACAATGAATGGATCATGTGCAGCATCTACCCCCTAGAGGAACCAACCAATCCGGTGAGCATCATCAATAAGGAAAGCAGAGCTGAGGCTTCCTTCAAAATGAACCAACTAMGAAGGATAAGAGTAATAGAAGGGGACCAAAATAGAGTATTCAGGCCAGATACAGATATCCGCCACCTAGAAGTAGACCCTACTGAATGGACTTGGAGTACTTCCAAAGCCCCCCACACGACAGCACGCAGATACAAAATAWCTGATTACTCCCCTARGCTGGGCTACAAGCTGTTTTCCACTCCCACCTCTACGTCAGAAATAGTACTGAAAAGATGGCAAAAGGAAGAAATCACACTCGCCAACGCGAACTTCAAACCCTCCTGGAATTCAATATTCTGCATGAGAMCGGTAAAACTGGCCAGCCTATTCTGGCTCATTACCTATAGAGCTGTCCCCGTGAACCAATGGCTATCACAAAGACGCAAGAAAGAAGACAGATCAGAACAGGAGTCATGGTGCAAAGTCTGCAATTCACAAAACGCAGAAACACTCAATCACTGTTTCATAGAATGTGAGAAAACCCAAATCCTATGGAAGGACCTAGAACAAACATGGGCCAAACACTCAAATAAAGAAGTACAAATCAATCCGGRAACTCTTTATCTAGATATAAAACAATCCCCAGAATTTAAAGGCTTCGACCTATTCTTCTTCTCACTAATTAGAAAAACCTCACTGTGGGCAATCTGGAAAAGGAGATGTGACCTGACCTTCGATGACCACCCCACTAACCATGAAAACCCCCTAACCACTATCAAACAACTTATAGAAACCGAACTCAACGCCCTCTGGAAAAAAACACAGGCAAGAATACAAAACACCCCAGACAAAAAACTCGAGATTATCAAAAGATTTACGACAGGAAAACTAGGAGGAGGAACAATAGGAACAATAGAAAAAAAACAGCCTGGTCTTTAAGGACTGGCTCATCCTATCAAGTCAATCTCTCACACCCACACCGCTACCGGAAGACCAACACCACCACAGTCTAAATAACAACCCCGACATACACATCTAATCAGCCGTTCACGWYCTTTCTACCCAAGAAGAATACAAATTCCATTCAGGTCCCATCCCAATCGAATCCAGGAACAGAAGAAAAGACAGCAGAAAAACTAATAACTGGACCTGACCGCTATCACGATACCAACAGGCTACTGAAAGTCTCCAACCCTGAACAGACAAAATTCTCACTAACAGCAACAGATTAACCCAGAAAAAAAAGGATAAAATGATCGCCAGGTTAGCAAAACACAGGAGACAAGTAGAGCAGGCTAACTTAGGCAGGGGTGAAGGGGAGYACATCCTTCCTGATGGAAGTAAATACCCTCGCCCCCCCGCCCCAATCCCATAACCCCAAGCCCATAGACCCAGAATCCCAAAACCTTCACCTCTGCACAGACCCCCTCAGTCACCGCCCCCCCCACCCCAACTACCCCACCAAGRAACCATAGGCATAAACAGCAGCTTAAACACAGAAAATCCAGGCAGGGACAGACCACAAAAAGGCACTACAGACARCAAGGGTCCAGGGTTTTAGCATGAGAGTTTCAGTTTTATAGGTTAGAAAGGAAYAAGGCTWATAGGGACTAGGACGTCAGGGATTTCAAGAGGTTCGCAGACATTCCAGACCGCTCTAGCATAACACGACAACCCGACAGCATCACAACTGAGAGGAGCAGGACTGGGTCCAGACAGATGGGCAACAGCCAGACAGATCAAATAGCACAGGCTAAAATAGGCAGGGGTGAGGGGTGGTATATCCTTCCTCAGGGAAGTAATCAATGCCGTCCACTCGGACCTCCCAACCATAATGGGGAGGAGCGTGCGTGAGTCATCCATGTTTTCCATATTGACTTGCCGGGGGAATAGGAACCGGACTGTCGCTCCCCAGAATGGTAGGAGCCAGAACCAATGGTTCTGTCTTTGGAAAAAAAAATAAATAAATAAAAAATGATGATCATGAGACTCTTTGAGTGGTAATCAATAGTATGACCATCACAATAGTCATGTGATGATGATGACGGGTGGGCGAGGTATCAATAAACTTGCTTTACATCATGTAACGGACAGCCATGATGATAATCATGAAACTCTTTTCTGACAAGCACGAGGTGCCCTTGAGCATCCTTTTTTCTTTTTGCTCTTTCTTTAAAAAGGGCGACGGCCTTGAGATGTTGTCCTTGAACTGACCAACCCCAGGTAATTTTCATCAGTTCATGGGCGTACCAACTGAGCTAGGCCTTAAAAGCACCATCACCATGATGAACATCAGGCTTTTCATGCAATGACTGAATGTACGATCATACCGATCATATGTGGCTATAATGACCACGAAATTTATCATGTGAAAGAATGATTACTGTTAGACGAACCAATCCAAACTCTCTCTCACCTGTGCTCCTCGTATCAAGGTTTCTTGAGCTGTTGTGCCACTGCGTGAATGAAAGCTGCAATGCGATTCAGTTGGTGTAAACGGCAGAGAAAACACCCAATCAGAAACATCCAGGCAACTGAAGAACCGTTGACAAAATCGACCAATCATAACAATGTGGAAATAGGGACTGGAGGAAGATAGAGAAGCACACGGCGTGCACAAACAGCTGAGTAGATATAGAACCAGTGGAATTGCAGGTAATGGTTAAGTAGCACATGCTGCATTTGACCAGGGGAGGAGACTGGCAGGGACTGGTGTCCGGGGGAGGAGACTGGAATCTTAGTTGATATAGATCCACATTCCAGCAAGATTGACTTTGTGCCTTTCAGTGAAATTTGCTTAATCAATAAACAAGTACAAGTGTGCAATCCTCAAAATCAAATGCTATAATTATATGCTGTACTCCAACTTGCAGAGAAACTCTTCAAGCTTTCTACACCATTGTAAGGACCTGCCAAAACACGGACTGAGAGCTGATTTCTGAGTTTCGCCACTAGAATGAATGCCTTGTTGAGATTCCCGCTTTCTGCTGAGTTTTCTAAGTCTGTGTGTGTGTGTGCGTGCTTGCTGGTCTGCATGCCTGTCTGAGTGCTGGTTGGTCTGAGTGTGTGTGTGACCCGCAAGGGCACTTGTTCGTGTGGAGGCCGGCACTTACCTGTGGCCGTGACTTTGAGGGTTGCAGCGGGGAAAACACTGAGTGGCGGGAGTAGGCCTGCTACACTTAGAGCAGCAGGAAAAACACCCAAGTAGCAGGTAGGTCGGTACCACTCAAGTAGCGGTAGATGTGTCAGGGACTGGAGGCCGAGCAGAACAAGACAAAAAGTTGGCATTTTTAGAGGCCCAGTAGTTGTAGGCTAGGTCTAGGAGGGTACCAGTCCAAGCAGTATGAGTCTAGGGCCTGTACAGGGGATATCAGAGTCTGCAATGATGTTTCCCTCTGAAAGGGAGGAGGTACCGATTGCTTGGAGGCCGCGCGGTCTGGAAGTCACCGCCCAAGAGGCAAGTTGGCCGCTATATCTCCAGGAGCAGAAAAGAGATCCTCCTCATTTGCTGCATGCAAGTTTGGGCAACACGCCGGTGGAGCGCGTGGTGGAGCAGCGCTGCTGGGGAAGAAGGGGTGCCCAGCTCTCCACCTTGGCTGTGGTGGAGGAGCTCGGGCAGGAGGTGGAGGAAGAGGGGACTAGGAGAGGGGAGCGGCAGGGGTACTTACCTGGCTATGGTGGATGCCATCTTCATCACTTTGGTAGGAGCTGCATCTGGAAGACCACCGTTGGGGTAGAGCTGCATCAAGAAGCTTCGAGGCAGAGGCAGGCATGGCGGCCTGAGTGGAAGTGGCCATAGCTGCTTTGCGTTGTCTTTTGCACATCAGAGCAAGGCCCTAGTAGTCTGCCATAGCCTCGGCCAACATTAAGAGGAAGGAGAAGGGAGGCCATGACTATGGTGGACCTCAAGTTGTGCTGGCAGTAGAAGAGGGATCGGACATTGATTCTGGTTCTACCGTTCTACCATCCATCATTATTATTATTATTTATTGTTTGAATAAGAGGGGATGAGAAAAAGAGGAGGAGTTTGGTTGGTGAGGAGAAGGGGGATTATCATTGGTCTTTGCTGGTGTACATCTTCTTCTTCTTTCTTCTTCTTCTTCTTCTTCTTCTTCTTCTTCTTCTTCTTCTTCTTCTTCTTCTTCTTTCCCTCTCTCTCCTCTCAAGTTAATTGAACTTAATTAATTTCTTTTTGCAATTGGACGGCACTGTGCTTTCTCGTGAATTTGTACTTTGAAATTGGCCAGGATCGTAACACCATAAAAAACGTAGGCTTGCAAAAAACAAGTCCTGCCTGCACCTAAACCTCATGTTTATCAACTCCCTGTTCAACTGCATCTCAGAGAGTGGGTCGAAAGTTCAAAACTTGACATGAATGAACTGGACTGGATCACGATGCAAGTGGTCCTGTGAAGTGATGGCATCTGCCCTCGCAAAGGCTTCGACTGGCTCATCAGAGTAGATGTACCGAAGAATCACATCCAACGGTTCCTATTTTCAAAATTTTAATTTTATTACAAGCTTTTAATCACAGGAAACAGTTCTAAGTTTTTTGAATCCCTCTCCTCAACAGTTTTCCTGATGTGTGCATAGGACACCTAAAGGTTCGCAATGGACAGATTGATTCCCAATGCACGGCCTCTGAATTCTTGGATCGTTACATCTCACAGCTTAATCCTATTGTTCCCAGTGCTCCGACCACACTGTGCTTTTTCAACAAGTCATTCATCCTCTGTTGCCAGAGTTCTTATACCTTGTGGGTCGAAAACGCTCTGCGCAGAAGTCCAAAACACCCTTCTCCAGAGTCTCTACTGGGATTATCTGCATTCAGCAATTTTCAACAGTTCACGACAAATGCTATCAACAAACTTAGCATGAGACTGTTCGCGAAAAACACAGTCAGTCTTCACATGGGTCAATTAGTGGGCAAAACACACACATGTCTCTCTCTCTCTCTCTCTCTCTCTCTCTCTCTCTCTCTCTCTCTCTCTCTCTCTCTCTTCTTCTTGCCAGTGGAAAGCAAGAGGAATAAGAATAGAAGGAGAAGAAGAAGATGCACGCCCGCAAAGACCAATGTCAATTCCCCCTTCTCCTGCCATCACCTCCAACCTCCAACTACTTCCCATATTCTTCTTAACAATAAGTTCAATAACAAAATAACAAGAGGATGCCCGCCACAGACGTGGCGGTGACCAAGAGGGGGCCAAAAAAAGCACATTGCCTGGGGAACGTACTGCTGGTTAAAAAAAAAAAAAAAAAAAAAAAAAGCTGCAAAGCCCACGGGGTTAAATCGCACAACCATCCACCGTTGATAGGGGGACTTGAGGTAGAATCCCATAAAGGAAACAACCGAGAGATTCAGAAGGGATTTAAAAAAACACAAACTCACAGCGGGACTGTACGTAGACGGGTTGTTTGTGGACGGACTCCCCTCCTCCCTCTCTTTTTGGCAATATAAGGATCCGTGTTTTTGTATTAAAAAAAAAGGACCATTTCTCAATTTATGCGTGTCATCCTTGCGCAGGGGCCATGCAAATCTTCTCTGTATCGTTCCAATTTTAGCGGATGTCCCGAAGGACAGAGCCTAGCTCAGTGGGCACACCCATGAACTGTTGACATGCAGACCAGAGTTCAAATCCAGATGATGGTTCTAGATTAATAAAGCCGCCCTGAGCATGTTAGTGGTGTCTGCTCTTATCAGCACCCCTAGCATTCACTCGGGTTGTTTTCTTCGAAAAAAAAATTAAATAATAAAGCCAGATATTTCTGAATTGCCTGAGTTGCTGGGGCCCGCTCAGCTCAATGCTGATATCTCAAGGTCGTCGCCCTTTCAATTAAAAAAGAAAAAAAGAAAAAAAAAGGACTGTATCTAGGTAACTTAGGGCACGCACGTGGTCAGATTCATCCGGTCCGGATATTGCTGTGATTGCAGTGAGATGGTGGCGCTTTCAGATGGCGGTGTGTTTGCTGACAATGGGTCTCACTCCACTACTCACCACATGCATGTATCTGCCCATATTCTAGTGGAGGATTCATCCTCATACACCACCAAAAAAAAAAAAAAAAAAAAAAAAAAACCTACTAAGGACCTCGCTCCACTACTCATCCAATGTGCAAAATGAGAATGAATCTTCTGCTAGAACATGGACAGATACACGACCATATTTTATTTTCTTTCTTTTGTGCATGTCGTGAGGAGTGGAGCGAGGCCCTAAGAGTACAACTATCGGGCCTTGCTCCACTGCTCACCAAATGGGGCAAAATTAAAACGCATCTTCTGCTAGAACATTGAAAGATACACAGCCATATTTTTTTGCCTTTTGTTCATGTGGTGAGGCCCGCTGGCTGTGGCATTGCATTGGAAAAAGACAAAAAAAAACCGAATCTACTGAAAACAAGGCTTACATTTTACTAAGAGTATAGAGTTTAGATAACAATGAAAGAACGAACCAGAACCAAGGTCCGAATCCTCTCCTTACTGCCAGCCACTCAAGAGGTCCTCCATAGCCATCTCCCACACCTTCCTCCTCCTTGGTCAAGCAGGTGGCTATGGCGGACTAGCGGAGCAAAGCTCCGATGTTCAAAGGATAACGCAAAGCTAGTGTGTCCCCCCTACTATGGCCGCAATGCCTATCACTGGCCCGAAGCCTTCCCTGTAGAAGCCAACACAACTGGGGCCTTCCAGGTGCAGAGCCAACCAAGAAGATAAAGATGCAGACCACCACAGCTAGGTAAGCACACCTGCCAAAGATGCAGACCACCACAGCTAGGTAAGCACACCTGCCACTCTCCTCCTGCTCACCGTCTTCCTCCTCCTCCTCCTGCTCCCCTGGAGTCTCCTCCTTGATCCTCTCCCCCATAGCCAAGGTGGAGGGCCAAGCCCGCCTTTTTCCTCCCCAGCCCCCCGAAACTGAGTGCGCACTCCTCCAACATGATGCCCAAACATCACACTGCCAAGTGAGGAAGAGCTCTTCCCTCTCTCCCAAGATATACCGGACCACTACCTCTTCGGGCGGTGACTTTCTAGGCTTACCGGTGCCTTCCCTGTTTCTGAGGCAAACATCATTGCAATCTGATATCCCCTCCTGCAGGCTCTACACTCAGGCTACTTGGACTGGTACTTTTCCTTAGCCTACCGGACTCTAAATTCACTTCGGCCTCTAAGGGTACTAACTTTTTGTCTTCTTCTGCCTACCTACCTGCTACTTGATCGTTTTCCAACCTGCATGGGCCTAGCCTACTTCTAAATCCCTCTGCACCCTCACAAAAGCACAACCACAGGTAAGTACCAGGCTCGGGGGCCTTCTCAGCACACAAGTACCCTTGCGGGTCACACACACACCCAAGCAATCATGCAGTCAGGCAAACACATGGAAACTCCGCAATCATGAAGACACACGTACTTAGAAATCTCAGCAGCATGAGGCAATCTCAGCAGAATACGGGAATCTCAGCAAGTTACTCAGTCCAGCGGCAAAACTCAGAAAACAGCACAGTTCTCAGTCTGTGATTTTGCAGGTCATTACAGAATTTGTTTTTGAAGATCTGGCAAATCCGCATTGATGATGGCACAGAGACAGAACTGAAGATCCAAAGGAAAGACAACCTCAGCACTGGATGGGACAGCAACAGAAGGAACCTGGTCCTGGTGGGACATTTTGAGGTTCTCAGTAGCAAATCCGAGAGTCCCGGCATGACTGAGGCTGAGAGGCATCCAAGAAGGACGGGGCTAGCTTACAGTCGTTGTTCCAGGACATGAGCAATCAATGCTGACTCACCGGTGGAACAGAACCCGACTGACGCTTCCCAGAATGAATATTAGTATTATTGAGCCAGGCCATACGGCTCTTTTTGAGAGAAAAAAAGAGATGAAAAAGCTGGCAAATCTGTGAAGCCAAAGACGCTTCCCTCATTTCTTTGGTATTTCTGATACATATTTGTAGGGCGCTTCGTTGATAACGTGTACAATCTTAGCTTCAGACGGATCCTAAAATCACTGAACATTTTGCCAGTCTATTACCCATCTCTCTCTCTCTCATTCACCTCCTGCATCCCATGGCCCTTCCACTCCCACTTTCCTCCACCACAACGGCTCCCATTCCACGCAGGTGGGTCTGGACTGTGTCAAAAGTTACTGATTCTCTCAGCTGCATCGAAAACTAGTCATTCTCCTTTCTTTTCTTTTTCGGTTTTTTTTTTTTTTTTGTGTGTGTGTGTTTTAAATTTCCACCACAACAGCCCCCGTTCCACCCAGACGAGTAGATTCGACTTGAGCCAGCCCAACAATTAAAGAATTTCACCTCTTTAGCAAGCAACATGAATCATAATAGAAGTTATAGAACCATTTAGAACTGTGTTTAGTTGGAGTTTCTTTGGGGCAACAGATCCTCTTTTACTATGCCTCTTATGTACACTAGATGACCTGTTGCGGCTTCGCTCGCAAAAACAAACGCGACAGGTGATGCAGCAAAAAGGTGGAGGCAACCGATGGGGATGCAAACTCTCTCTCTCTCTCTCTCTCTCTCTCTCTCTCTCTCTCACACACACACACACACACACACACACACACACACACAGAAACATAGAAGCGAAAAGATAAAAAAAAAAAAGGAAAATAAAATCACTTCGTGCCTTCAACGCCCCAGGGCCCCCTCCTCTTCCCTGCAACCCTCCCCTCTTCCTCGGCC